ATTTGTGCAGCTTGTTCGGACGAAGTATCCATATTATGGTTGAGAAACTCTCGATGAGTTAAAAAGCTAACCCAAAAGTTCTGCTGGTAACAATAATTCAATTGTCAAAAGAATAAAAAATCAATAAGAATCAATTTTAAAAAACACGCAAATCTGATACTACGAGTAAATTTTCTTTTCCCGGCTATATTCATTTATTTTACTGCAGTTCTATTTTTAAAGATTATTGCTTTTTTTAAGATTAAGGGCCAGTCTCTCCATGTTTATATAATTAACTCTAAAAAGTTTGCAAACTTATTTAAAAAAATGTGTGTGCCTGTAACTTTTACGCGCGATTAAAGTAAAACATCTTTGGCGTTGACGGCATATATCACTGAAATGATTAAATATTAACTTAAATAATAAATATCATACTATAATTTAATTATATTTATTATTCATGTGCTTTACAAAGATTATTCAAATGTTATATTAATATTATTCATTCGAAACAGGTAATGTCCTTCTTGACTCCAAATTAATCCTAGATAAGCACATAGGCTCAATTATTAATAAAGCCTACCAAATGTTAGGTTTCATAACGCGTGTCACCAGACCTTTTAAAGACGATACGTACATTCACCTCTATAAGACGCTTGTGCAGTCCCAGTTGGAGTACGCCTGTCCAATCTGGAATCCCCATTACTCTATATATTTCGCACAACTGGAGGCTGTACAAAAGAAATTCTTACGTATTCTAAATTATCGTATGAATGGTGGTAGGTCTAAAAAAAAATAAAAAAAAAAAAAAAAAAAAAAAAAAAAAAAAAGGAAAGGAGGGGGGAAGAAAAAAAAAAGGGAAAAAAAAAAAAAAAAAAAAAAAAAAAAAAAAAAAAAAAAAAAAAAAAAAAAAAAAAAAAAAGGGAGGCCAACAACGCGCCCCGCGCGCGCGCGCGGGAGGGCCAACCCCCCCCCCCCCCCCCCCGGGGGGGGGGGGGGGGGGGGGGGGGGGGGGGGGGGGGGGGGGGGGGTTTCCCCCCCCCCCCCCCCCCCTCCTGGCCTCCCTCAAAAAGAAATATAAAAAAAATAAAAAAAATTTTTTTTTTTTTTTTTTTTTTTTTGGTTGTGTGGTGTTTTTGGGGTGTGTGTTTTTTTATTATTTGGGGTTTGGGGTGTTTTTTTTTTTTTTTTTTTAAAAATAAAAAAAAAAAAAAAAAATAAAAAGTGTGGGGGTGGTGGGGGGGGGGGGGGGTGGGGGTTTTTTTTTTTTTTTTTTTTTTTTTTTTTTTTTTTTTTTTTTTTTTTGGTTTTTTTTTTTTTTTATTAAAAAAAAAAAAAAAAAAAAAAAAAAAAAAATAAAAAAAAATGAAAGGGGGGGGGGGGGGGGGGAAAAAAAAAAAAAAAAAAAATTTTTTTTTTTTTTTTTTTTTTTTTTCTAAACCACAACAAATAAAAAAAAAAAGGGGGGGGGGGGGGGGGGGGGGGGTTTTTTTTTAAAAAAAAAAAAAATATAACAAAATTTTTTTTTTTTTTTCCCGTCTTCCCGTTTTTTTCCCGGGGGGGGGGCCCGGGGTTTTTTTTCTATAAATTTTACTCTAAATTTGCTACTTTTCTTTTCTTTATTCACTTTGCTAATCACAATTGATCCGTTTGGAAATAAATAATCCTAATTGATTATGATATTTGCAACTAGATGGCGTATAAGTCAAGAAGCGTGGAGTAAATGACAATTGACATATATTTACGACCAATCCCAATTATTATTATTATATAGCGGAAACTACACAGACTAACTAACTACACAAGTAAGCGTTACTTCCGTCAGAAAAAAAATCTGAGTTACAGTCGCGCCTAAACAAGTTTTACTCCAAAAATAATTTCAAAGTAATCCTGAAGTTTGATGCAGTTTATGAGTCCGTCAGTATATTATTTATTAAATAAGATCTTCTACAGCAGGAGTCGTGCGTGATGTCATTGTGTATTTTTAGTTATAAAAGTAATAGATATATTTCCGTCATTAAAAACCTGCTAAAAATAAACTTAATTCTGAAATAAGCATAGCGTGAAGCGCTAGATAAAATATTCTCTAAATTGACAAATATTTTTTTATAATTTCATTGATTGATTTGTCCAGCAGTGTTGTCCTTATTAAGTGTGTGGCCCTCCATCCTAAGGCAATGAGTTCAAGTCTCGTTAGTCTACTAGTAGATATGTATTTCTAAATGCGTTAGTAACATTTCCTTATACAGTAGAGGCAAACGGTAAGAAAGTCTAGACTTTCATCCAAAGTCGACGAATCGTGTCAAATAAACTAATCAAAGAAACTGCTGAAATTTGAGGCCAAGACCTAATGGAAGCGCAGTTTATCAAAAGAATGCTGTTTTTTATATAAATGCATAAATTATGTGGAATTAAAATTGTTCGTGTATTTCGTAAATGCCTCCTCCAAACGTTTTGTTTCTTTTTCAAATCATGGCCTTTTGAACAAAAAGTAAAAATTTCTAAACTTTATACTTTTTTACTAAGCTAATTAAATATACATTACACCTACAATCAATATATTCGATGAATAAAACGGAAAGTATAGTTACCGAATGGGGGGGGGGGGGGGGGGGGGGGGGGGGGGGGGGGGGGGGGGGGGGGGGGGGGGGGGGGGGGGGGGGGGGGGGGGGGGGGGGGGGGGGGGGGGGGGGGGGGGTGGGGGGGGGGGGGGGGGGGGGGGGGGGGGGGGGGGGGGGGGGGGGGGGGGGGGGGGGGGGGGGGGGGGGGGGGGGGGGGGGGGGGGGGGGGGGGGGGGGGGGGGGGGGGGGGGGGGGGGGGGGGGGGGGGGGGGGGGGGGGGGGGGGGGGGGTTTATAGTGAATGTGTGCGGAAAGAGAATTTGAGATTGAAGCAGTTTTAAATTACCGTATTAACGCATTTAGTACACCTACGCAATCGCATGCGGCAGCGAAACGACGAAAAAACTGTAAGTTGTATGGCAACGTTTCGCATGTGTTTTGTCTCGCTCTATTATATAGCTAGATGAAATAGTTGCGTCCTTGTCGGTATTGTTTCGCAAGTAACTGCGAAATGGCTGTGACACAGACGCAGCCGTTTCGCTAGCGGAGTTTCGCATCGCAATGCGTCACCACGCGTTCTGTCAGTGAGGACAGAATTTCGCACAATGGAAGCCGAAAATATTAAATTATTATTAAATTTGATTCGAAATTATCCCGAATTATATTTAGTTGGGCATGTTAATTACAAAAATGCATACAAAAAAAGAGGTGGCATGGAGGAAAATTCAAGAAAAGACGGGGATAGATGGTAAGAAATAAAGCTACAATGACATTTCCTTGCGAAAAAACTGCAGTGTACTAACGTTCCGCAGATATTTCGCTACCGCAATTATTTCGCAAAGACTCGCAGCCGCATACGAACGCGTAGGTGTACTAAAGGCGTTAGTAATTTGACAACGCTCCTACTCATTATATTTCGACAACAATCATCTTGTTACCTAATATAAAAAGTACAAGAGCATTAGTTTTGTGAATAAATGAAATTACACGTAAAGAAAATACGAATTAGACCTTCCAGACGCAAATATATGTTAGGAACTGGAAAATGAATACTCCTATAAAAATCTAAATCTAAAAGAATGCAAGATGTAAAATTTAACCGTCAGGAGATTATTATTTTTATTTAGGACCCGATAGCTTATATGGTGATATAATATAAAATAAATCAGTGGTGCTACAACCTTTTTAGGTCTGGGCCTCAGATTTCTTTATCTGTTTCATGACCTGACTGTTAATCTAATGGCACGCCGTCGACGTTTTCAGTCTAAAACAAGTCGGGTTTCAATTATACAAACTTGTTTAAGATTTATTTATTTATTCCATCCATCTTAACAAGTATTACTACCACCAATACGATGATTATTTATTATTTAAAAAACATTAGAAAAGCATAATTAGGCAGATGCAATTAAATTATACAAAAATAATTAACCGTAACAGAACATTCAATGACACTTTTCGAATTCGCTTTGCGAAGATATAAATGTAGATAATTTCGGAGACATTATTAAGCAACGTGTTTGTAAAGGGGGCCTAGTGCCATAATATATTCTTTCTGCCGCTAAGAACCGCAAATATAATTAGTTTCGTCTTAAATATACATTTAGTACAAATAACCGCAGTTCTTGCAGAACACTATTTATTTACACTTCGTTAGCATAATATACAAAATCATACATATAAAAACCAAAAAAAGCAGGTTACATAAGTTACTAGGCAACGGGCGGCCTTATCGCTAACTAGTGATTTCTTCCAGGCAACCCTAATATGGAACAATAAATAAAGAAACACCTACAGCGGGTAATTAATTAACAAAAAAACCTCATAAACATGTAACTATAACTTAAATTAAATAAAGTAAAATCTACTACTAATTCTAAACATTAACAACTTATGCCGCTGGTTTCTAACTTGTTGTATTCAACCATCCCTAACACAAACAACGTTGGGAAAATTAAACGTTGGATTAGTACCTTAAACCCTTTGCTTGTTTTTATAGTATAGTATAGACACTCACACTGTTGAATTAAACTGGAGCATATTTCTCATTGAAATAGCTTTGATATTCGTTAACGTTGATGTCCTTCCAAGGACAAATCCTAATCTAATTTGACAAACGGGCCCCATAATTCGCACTTGCTCTTTTGCTGTAAATCGACAGCTTAAATTAAATAATTAATAATAATATAATCTTTATTTATTTCTCACAAAAACTTAGCACATAAACAAGTGACAGTTATATACTATTATAAATAAATAATTGTCTTACTTCTGTTTAGGGAAAAAGCTATTTTGTGTGAGACTGATGCCTGCTAAAGGTAAGAGTACCTGTGTTACAGGTCATCAGGCCTCCACCACTTCGGATCGACAGAAGGTCTATATACAGGTTACTTGAAATATAGTAAACAAAATTTTATGCTTCACATATAATGATAATTATATTGACATGTATAGAAATATCCTATGAGAGATCAGATGAAACCGGGTTTTTCTTAAATAAATATTTAACCATTCCGTCGAAGTATATAGGAATATACTCTGACCAATTTATTAATGATGGACTGAAAGGGAAGGTTATTTGATCACTCGGTGACAAAGATGAGAAGAGACAGTAATTGTTCATCGTGCTGAACTTCCAAGAGTTTGTCGTGAAGATTTCTAATACATCGCGGACTTGTTCTATTCTTCGCAGTATTTTTCGGTATCTACAAAAATTAAATTGTATACATGTCATTCTTAATAATCTACGCTAATAATTATCAATAATAATAAATGTTGGTTTCTTAAGGATAGAAATAACATACTTAGGGTCTTTTCCTGAAATCCGTAACAAAGCGTCAGCCAGTGTTAAAGGAGAAGTTTGTAGGACAGCCGATAAGAAAACCAGTAAAAATTTGGAATTTGTAAAGTAAACATCAGGAAATGGTAGTTCATCTGAAAAAGAAGAATTTTATTTACCACATCCTAGTTACCTTCTTACCATAGAAATTGGAGATTATTATGAATAGTTAAAAAAATACTTTTTATTTTTTTTATTTTTCTAATTTGGCCTGGTAATCTATACAATTATGCCATTTTGATGGAAGTTTGCTTATCCCTTTACTGGTCGGACGAGAGACGATAAAGTCAGCGAAAGCGTTTTGTACTGCCCTTCGGGCGTTAAATTGTTTCCCACATAAAAATTGTATGAATTTTGAAAGTCGACGAAATTCACGTTGTGTTTTTATCACTGATGAATTATTCCGTAAGAACATTGACACGATTATTCCACGTTCTTGGGGAGTAAAACGGTCCATGTTTATTTTCAGTGTATTTTACATTTGTTCACTACATAGGGTATGTTCCGATATACACTGCGAGTACTGTATAGTCCCTGTTCAAAATAGCTCCGCTTCAACAACAGAATGACAGGAAATATCATATAAAAAAATAAACAAATTTTCTTTAGTGCCAGTACTTTTGCGCCACCCAGTATATATAGCACGTGTAAAGGACACTGATCACCTACTTGCCTATAAAGAAAAGATCTAATCAAGGGACAAACTTGCGTCCGAAACTAAAACTTTGTTTCTCTCGTAATATATGCGATCGCAGCCACGCTCCATACACTTTCTACCTTCTAAATCAAATCAAATCAAAATCATTTATTCATATAGGTAACACAATGTGCACTTATGAACGTCAAAAAAGAAATACATATTAAATGCATCTAATTTTACATTAACTGCCAGTTCCCAAACCAGGTCCGTAGAACGGAAGAGAAGAACTGGCAATAAACTCTCCGCCACTCTTTTAATCGGAAAGTTTTTGTTTTACACAGTGTTTGAAGGAACTGCAACCATGACACCATGTTCCATAAGACTTTTTAAGTAATTAATAGTTAATTAATAATAATAAAATAAACTAAAAACAAATATTTATTGTCCTCTATCAGCAGGAGGCATGGTGAAATAGGAGCACGCCCTAACATTCTTAAACACCTGTTACTAGGTTTTCAATACTCACTAAATTTATTTCTTTTACTACTTATTGTGGTCAGATTTAATAAGTCCCTTAGCGTCAAAGGCTTCTCTGTACTTGTAGCACAAGCGTAAACTTTTACGCTTTGTGGCCTGAAAAAAAAAAAACGATGTCTCCAAAGGCAGAACCAACTACGATTTCATTGTAACACAAACGTTTCTATGTTTTATATATTAGGGTAACGGGAGAATAGTGTGTTAGCCTAATCGTATTTTATGATTACTAATCTAGCTGAGGCATATAATATATCTGAATGAGTTTGGAAATAAGTTGTGCTAGGTAGAAAAAAGTAACTAAACCCTTTTATCTTTCTTTATATTTATCACCAGTCACAATCAAAACACTACTTTATATGTGAATAGATGTAAATCTTATTGAAATAAAAAACATATTTTTTGATGGTGATCCAATCCCTGCTTTGAACTAAAGGACTATATGAAATATGAGAAATGCAACAGCAATATTATGGATTCTTTGTTCATATTGATAAATTTTATGTAAAATTTACAACTTACAGTATTTTCTTTGTTGCCGCTACAATTGTGAGATTTACGACGTAGTCGACTGGTATAAGATCCAAAACGTTGCGTCCGTTCCCGGGCAGAACTCTTAGGATGCCTTTGCCGGTGGTTCCAATTAAACCAGTTGCCCCATTCCAATTATCTATCCACCCTGGGATCGGTTCTGATAGACTTGCAGTTACTGGAAAGGAAAAATTATTGTGCCCTATAAAATATCCTGGCGAAGCGATGTTGTAACATAAGCCATACTTCAAGAACATATTCATACTTTTAGAACAACATAATTTTTTGCTATCGTATTTTTTTTAATTACAGGAGGCAGACTGGCAGGATGCTCATCGAATGTTAAGTGATACCGCCGCCCATGGACACTCGCACTGCCATAAGGGTCGCAAGCACGCTGCTGAAAATTATAAATATGCTTTTTTCACGATCTTAATAAACAATACCATATATAATATTTATAATACATACCAATTGAAGGCCTTATAATAATAACGGGAACATGACCATGTTTTTTCCGCCAACAAAGCCTCTCCCAGCTTCTTAGAGAATGTATATGCGTTTGGCTCATCTCCTGAAAAATTTACATTATGAACTTTTAAAAATAAACGGATTCACTTTACTACTAGTATTCGATAAAAATGTTTTATATTTTACATCGTTTTATTTTTAATGATAATGTACTTAAAAATCAGCATTTGTTAAAACTTTAAATTCAAATTTTAAAACAAAAATTCTATATAAAATTTTAAAAGTACTAAGTTACATTTCTAAATTGAAAATTATCGTCGTTCAAATATATCTTAACACTTATTTTTATAGTAAACAAGCGGACCCGAAATAAATCTAAAATATAAGCTTTTTAAGTTTGTAATACCATTTATAGCAAATGAACGCCTAGACTGATGTTTTGACTGATACATTTTTCGTTTTTATGTTTGTTGAATCTTGTTTTACCACGTTTTATGTTTTATGTTACGTTCCATGGAAACAGGATAAATATATATAATAAACCTTGTAATGTCCGTTTCCTGGTTCTAAGCTACCTCTCCACCAATTTTCAGCCAAATCGGTTCAGCCGTTCATGAGTTTTGAAAAGTGTAACACGACTTTATTTAAATATTGTGAGAATATAGTTTTAGGACCAATTTTTATCGATATCATTCGTCAGACATAGAAGGTTTATTTCTTGAGGTCATCTACTTGGGTAACCAAGTATAAGAAATACTACCAAGGAAACAATCGCAGATAATATGTGTGTGCCCCTACCTATCTAATACTTAAATAATAAAAAAATACTTCAAAGGAACAAAAGCATGTAAAACATAAATAAGTATGTACACTAAAGTTTAACTGTCTTTAGCTGAGACGTGGGCCCGAAGCAATCTGCTTTCTGAATATCAGTGCGAAATATTTCTACAAGATAAGAAAACTATTAACCCTTGACTTACCTATTATCATTTTAGTTCTCTCTTCATCTGGCTGTTCGTTTATCAAATGATCAATATGGCTCAGAGGAATTGGTGATGGGTAAACTTTCTCTTCGATAAATATACTGTGTGTATTGGAATACGCTGTTGCAACTTGAACGAGGACCTACGTTGAACAATTGTAATGCATTAGTTACAGTAATTATATTTCCTATACAATATATAAAAAATGAAAAAACCGGTGGCGCAACAATCTTTTTGGGTCTGCGCGTCTAATTTTTGTATCTGTTTCATGATCATTTGTTAATATAATAGGCAAGTAGGTGTAGGTCCTGTGCCTGAAACACGCCGTCGACTTTTGGGTCTAAGCCAAGTCGGTTTCCTTACAATATTTTCCTTCGCTATTCAGGCAAATGTTAAATGCGCACATAGACAGAAAATCCATTGGTGCAGCCGGGGATCGAACCTTCGCCCTCAGGGATGAGAGTCACACGCTAAAGCCACTGCACATATCTATATATATACGAGTATATAAAAATGTTATGTTGGTTTGTGTACACTTCAAAAACTCAGAAAGATCTGCACCGTTCGAACTGAAATTTTAGCATGATTTATTATCCGCATCGAAGATTGTTTTTATCTTTTATTTTTATGTTTTTGTTTTTTTTATTTTTTCATTTTTATTGCAAAATTGAATTGTATTCTTTGTTTTGTTTCTCATTCCTCAACCATTTAATCACAATCGACACTCGCATGTACAAAAACTGATCTTGCTTGTTTCAAGCGTATGTGTGCGTGCACGCTGGTAACCTGAGTACGTGCGCTTTGTGACTTATTGCTGGACTTTTTATATGTTATTTTGTAAATGTTAAAACATTAAATGAATAAATAAATTTTAAAATGGTGGTAAATTTCATCTACCCCGTAAAAAATTTACAATTTAGAAAAGTGTTTAAGATACTACCGAAAAACATTTTATGTTTGAAATTATATGAGTTACCAAATCTGTTGTTCAACCAATTTTCCCTGTAATTTTAGAGGTTTTTTGTTTAGAGTTTTATGAGAATTGACTTACCTCCAGCTTCTTCATACATTTACATAAAGATAATACCCTCTCAGTACCCTTGACATTGATGTTGAGCAAATCATGTAGCGGTGCGACAAACTTGATCGATGCAGCCGCATGAAATACGTATGATACCTAAGAATTTATAAAATTAACTAAAAAATCAGTACGCTAAAACAAAACCGTTAAATTAGTCTTAATTAATAAGTGTCCATGTCTCTGGCCCAGAGAGCCATAGAAAGAAGCATAATAAAGAAAAGAAGAATTGACAAAAAAAGTAACAAGAATTTAAGAGATAAAACAGGGTTTGCTGACGTTGTATACAAAACAAAAGAGTTTAAATGGAAATGGGCTGGACATACCATAAGAGGAGCAGAATTGTAACACTATGGCAACCAAGAGGCCATAAAAGAAATAGAGGTAGGCAATTTAAAAGGTGGAAACGGCTCGAAAGACTAAAACCTGGACGACATTGATATACAATAAAGAAAAATGGAGGACAATGGGGGAGGCCTTTGTCCGTAGGCAATCAGTTATCGAAGATTAAGAAAAACAATATTTATAATGTATATATTTTGTATTACTAATATAAGGCTATTAATAAATAAATAAATAAATGTAAATACGGGATACATCGCGGCATAGGAGTTTTCATACACTGCCAACCTTTTATTAAAATAAACCAAATTGTTCTTCTAAATCGTTCTTGGCAAACATTCTAGCCATTAGACTGATGCGGGTGTAAATAGGATATTAATTCTGACTTGATAGTGTTAAAATTATAGCGACTGCAATACATACATACCTCATTAATAAGCGTTACTTTGTCTTCTGGGGAGATACCAAGACCTTCCTGACTTACGTCACCGACTATCGGTTCTATTTTGTCAATAAATTTCGCTTTCTCTCTATTAAGTCTTGAAAATACCTAAAAATAATTTGATTAGTTCAAGGCCAATGCTTTTTTCATATTTAATTACATATTACTATGATAATATATCTTACTGGTAGCTCTAGCATACTCTTAAGACGCTCTTGAACCGTCAATCCCCGCTTCCCTCTAAGAAGTATGTAGACTTTTTTAACATCGGAACAGCTGTAGAGTATTTTCTCTAAGAGTACCTTTAAATAAAATATGAGAAGCTAGTATTGGCATTAGGAAGAATACCTTACGATAAAAGAGCGTAAAGGAATACTAAATAATGGTACACAGAAAATATTTTTTAATTGAAGCCAGTATCTGAGGAGTATATAAAATTATATACATTGGCCATCCAAACTATGATATACCACGGAACTTTTTTTAGAAAAGGAACTACTCAATATTTGATCGGTGTAGTAGTTTACTGACTACTAGGCCAAAGAGGCCACAGTATCAAGCCATTCTATGTACAGACAACGCACAACGCGCATAAGAAAATTATAATTATTCTTACACTTTGATGTGCCATTTTGATAGGACTAGTCTAGTTTAGTTTTTCTCCGCAGTTTCACTGCGTTAATCAAAATAACCTGGCACATCAAAAACAAGAATATTTCATTACATGGAATAAAGTTATCAAATTTTGTTTATAATAAAAAAATAAAAATAGATATTTTTTCTTAGGATGTGTAAAATAAAAGAGTTGGCGATTTAAAAGAGTGGCGAAGAGTTTATTTCCAATTCTCTCTTAACATGGTGTTAATACATATATAAATATACGTACTTTCCCCAAGAATCCTGTACAACCAGTGATAAAAATGCTTTTTCCAGCGTAGGACTCTGCTACTGATTGACACATCTCACACTGAGGTATAAACAATTGAATAGCGAGTCAATATAAAACTTTGGTCACACTTCGCTTCTTGATCTTAAATTATGTTTAATAACCGTATCATACAAGATTTATATCCATTTATGTGTCCAGTGAGTCAAAAAATTTTCATTGTTATAATATTCCCATGCCATATTTTGAAGGCAGGCGTGAAGTGCTAGAAAAAATATTCTCAGAATTATCAAATATTTTTTTTATAATTCTATTAATAACAAAACAAATATAATTATTTTATTTATATGAGCAGTGTTGTCCTTATAAAGAGTGTTATTTCAATCGTAAGTTGGTTCAAGTCTCGTTAGTGCACTAGTGGATATTTCTTTCTATGCTCGTTAATAACATTTCCTCGTACGGTGGAGGAGGCAAAAGAAACTGCTGCAATTTGAGGCCAAAGCCTATTTGAGGCGAAGTTAACCTAATATATAAAATTCTCGTATCACAATGTTTGTGCCCATACTCTTCCGAAACGGCTCGATCGATTCTTATGAAATTTATGCATATTCAGTAAGTCTGAGAATCGACATCTATTTTTCATCCCCCTTAATGTGAAGGGTGGTCCCACCCCTAAATTTTTATTTTTTTATGATACAACATACAAAAATACATACAACCCTTAATTGTCACCCCTCTACCATCAACCCCTACATCACAAATGGGGTCTCCAAAATGGCCGTTTTGTAGGCGTCCATAGCTTCTTCAGGTGATGAAAATCTCTGACCACGCAATTTATTCTTTATTTTAGGGAAAGTATAGAAATCATTAGGGCTTAGGTCGGGGCTGTACGGCAGATGGTCTAATAATTCTATGTTTTCTTGCTCTAAAAACTCTTTTGTTCTGTGCGCGGTGTGAGAACTCGCATTGTCGTGATGGAGGATGATGCGGCGGTTGCAGTTCTCTTTACGGAGTTCAGAAACGACCTGTGGCAAACAAATGCTAGCATACCATTCTGCATTAACCGTTCTTTGTCCCTCAAGAGGAATAGTCGCAACATGGTTTTGGAGACAAACGTGGCCACCATTTTTTTTTTGCAACACTTCGTGAACGAACAATTTTCGTTGGCTTTAACTCATTTTCGAACACCCAAACTCGTGACTGGTTTTTTGTTTTGGGTTCGTACGCGTATATCCAGGATTCCTCTAATAAACAATAAACTACAAGCTCCCACCTTTTCAGAATGCCAAATCATAAAATGACTGCTTCACGACTGATTTGAGAGCGACCGCCGATGCGAAAACCGCTGTGTGAGTTCGAAAAGTGAGTTACAGAATCGCAGGGCTGTTCTTGACGAGAATTCTCATTCTAATACAGGATGTATTCCTATATTCGAATAAGAATAAAATGAAGATGATGTCTGATTAGCATAATGTTTGTTATGCATATTTTATAATTGTTTGATTTATGTAATATTTTTTTAATTTAAATTTAATATTGTTTCTTGTAATATAAGTAAGAAGTGCAGCTGGAAGTGGGTTTATTAAATCTGGAATAAGATAGTCTAATGTTTTTTTCCCATATAGGTTATTTATTATGTTTAGGTAATAGAAATTCGTTTTTTAAATTATACGTGTTGAATAGTGATGGTGAGTTTTAAGAGTTTTAAGGTAATTTTCTGTAAAGTAGTTTTCATTTAATAATCCTAGCTGCACCTTCTCTTGTATAGGTATAATTTTGAAAAATGCAAATAGCTTTCTGTAGTCCTCTTTGTATTGTGATTTTAGTTTTATAGGAGCAATTGTTTTTAAACGGTTTTATTTAGCTCACCCCGTTTGTTTTATTTATTATTCTTGGGTCAAATTTAGTAATTCAAATTTCACCCTCTTCCTGTCAACCGATTAATCTGAAATTTTGTATACACTTTGGATTTTGGTGACAATACAATTATGTTTATTCATTATCATTATAAATTCAAGATGGCCGCCGCTACAAAATGGCGGATAATTTATGTTTTATTAATCCCACCAATATGGGTATCAAATAAAAGGGCTTGACAAGAAGAATACAGTGTACTATACAACCTCAATATTTATCTCGCTAATATTTAACTCGCTTATAATCGAGCTTGCTAGCTTGTTTCCACATTCTAGCCCTACTTATCACACGTCCATCGTTGTCGGTTGAACAACTGCCTAATTTTAGTGTAACGTTACAAAACAAACATTTTAATCAACGATTGTAGACAATTGACGTGCCCCACGGTTTTATTTTAGTCTAGTCTATGCATATGTTTATAATTCCCACGACTGTATCTATTTTATTCTTTTTTTGTTTTTAGTACATTTATCTTAAACATTGCAATGTATGTTTAACATAAAACCGTTTAACTTAAAAAGTTTTTTTACCTATTTTTATTAAAATACGTATTTGTATTTCAAATATTTGATTTAGATAAGTTTAGCATGTTCTCCCATAGCTTGAAAGTCCATATGTTATAATGGATTCGGCCAGTGCTTTGTACAGTAGGAGCAGAGTTTTAATAGGTATTTTATTTTTTATCATAGTGATACCTACAAGTATCGCCCTTAGTCTTTCACAGACAGAATTGATGTGCACTCTCCAGGACATACGGTCATATATTGTAAGCCCCAGGTATTTGTGGTTGTGAACTTATTCTAAGGCGTTGCAGTTGCAGTTGGTGGATTACGAGTACGAGTAGAGTGTGTAGAGTCTATAGCGGACAAACAACGTGACGCGTAATATATATATTATATATATTAAGATTTCACACATTAGAAAACCATAACTAAAGTGGTCGCCACACTTGTATTATAATATAATAATATACATATTTATGTATACATATATATATTTGTTGTATAATTACAGCAATTACAAATAATGAAATTTTAACACACGGTGTTTAATATTTATTTATTACCAACCATACAACTATCTTAACAAGTTATATCTAGGCAGATGTCAAAAATTACAAACTATACAAAATTAATGAACCATAACAGAACATACAATGTCGCTTTTAAGAATTCGCCCTTCGAAAATTTCGGAGACATTATTAAGCAGGTGTAACACCTTTTTCCAGCGGACCTAGTGTCATATACTCTTTCTGCCCCTGGGAACCGCAAATATAATTAGTTTCATCATAAATATCAATTTGGTTACATTAAAAGAAAAAATCTGTGTTGCCGACCTTTTAAGAATAAGTTCACTCTTCCCTTGTCCAATTGGTTTGGAAAACGTCGTTGGATAGCTAATTCTACATAGAGATGGTGCGCGGCAAAAACTGTCTTAAAAAACGCTCAGATCGTTGAATACGGTCACGGGGAAGGAGCTGGTACTAGGAAGCTCCCGCCAAGAGGGAACACAGTAGCAGTACGCGACGTAGGGCCGAATATGCGCTTTATAGAGCTGCAAGCGGTGGCCCGGAACGAAGTACCGTCTCGCCCTTGCTGAGCACACCAAACCTCCTAGAGGCTAATCTAGCCTTTCCTTCCAAAAGACTGCAAAACTGATTCGCTATGTCAACACCCACCAGCTGACACTTTGAGTAGAGTTTTCTTGAAGAGAGGAGTAGCAAAAAAGGGTTTTTTGCAGAGCCTCCACGTAGCAAAGTTTCGACAACAGACACAAGTTTGTTCCGGTACCTATCGACAACTTCCTGAGAAAGTAGCCGTACAGGTAGCACAGTATAAAGAGTATCCCCAGTTATCGTCCGCACAGTAATGAATGTTGCTAAGTTGCAACAAGGTATCAAGGTGTAAAATTCTGAATATTCTAAACCCAGACTGACGAACTAAACTCGAGCATGTTTCTGATCAACGCATTATAGACAGGATTGAAATAGCTTTGATGTTCGTGAACGTTGATGTCCTTTGCAGGTCAAATCCTAATCTGATGTGACAAACGGGCCTCATATTCGCGCTTAACCTAAGTATTTCTCTTTTACTGTATATCTACAATTTAAATTAAATAAATATGAAATATTTTAAAAATACACGTGACTTCAAATATAGTAAATAAAATGGTATGCGCTGTTATGCTTCATATGTAATGATAATTATATAGAAATATACTATAATCTACGCAGATGAGACCGGATCTTTCTTAAACAAATATTTAATCATTCCGTCGAAGTATATGGGAATATACTCTGACCAATTTATTAACGATGGACTAAAAGGGAATGTTTTTTGATCACTCGGTGATAGAGATGAGAAGAGACAGTAATTGTTCATCGTGCTGAACTTCCAAGAGTTTATCGTGAAGATTTCTATTGCATCGCGGACTTTTACTATACTGCGCAGATGTTTTCGGTATCTGAAAAATTAAATTCTTTAGATCGCATTCTAAATAATCTACGCGAATAACTAACAATAATAAAAAAATATGTTTGTAATATTGTTTATAATGGATGGAAAAAACATACTTAGGCTCTTTTCCTGTCATCCATAAGAAAGCGTCAGCCAGTGATAAAGGAGAAGTTTGTAGGATAGCCGATAAGAAAACCAGAAACAATTTGGAGGTTGTTAAGTAAACTCCAGGAAATGGTAGTTCATCTGAAAAAGCAGAAAATATTTTACCCCTAATATTTGTATACCCATGAATTTTGTTCATACAGAGAAGGTGTAAAATATAAGACGTGTGTCCAGTATAGGACGCTGATTAACTACATTCCTATAAAGAAATTATCAAATCAAGGAACAAACATACGTCCGAAGCCCAAACTTTGTTTTCTCGTAATATATGGAATCGCAGCCACGGTCCATATTATACTCTCTACATTAGCTCACTCTCACCCATGTTTGAATGTTTTTAATACTCACTAAATTTATTTCTTTTAGAACTTGTTGAGATCAGATTCAATAAGTTCCTTAACGTCAAAGGCTTCTCTGTACTTGTAGCACAAGCGTAAACATTTACACTTTGTGGCCTGAAACATAAAAACTATATCTCCAAAAGCTTAACCAACTACTATTTCATTGTACCTCAAACACGATTGTAAATTGTTAAAA